GGGCGTGGCGAGGGTGGACTGGGGGGCGGAGAGCAGTCGCACCAGAGAAACTCCACCTTAGTATACCCCCAGCTTGTCGGCGAGTTAGGGCAGATGGGGTCGTTCGGATCGCCTGCTGTCACCCAATGTGTAGCCATCCAGCTGGGGGAACTAATATCAAGAGGGTAATAACTAGAATTTGCTTTATAAAACGCACCGAACAAATATAGAGGAACCGGCACACAAGAAGGAAGCGCGTTGTATAATTTATACCAAAGCCCGGTACTCAATTCAAAGTAAGAAATAGAATGGCTGTCCATGTTAAAGCGGGTGGTGTACGTCTCCTGGTTTTCTACCATCATGTTCCAATCGGGGATGGTGCAGCCACCAGTTATCGCAAAGCGGTCGTTGAACTCCGACTCTAAGAACCACCGGAACTCGGCTCGTACAAAATCAAGTCCCGTAGGCACCATAATTGCAATATCCCAACCAATGGCCAGTACTGAGAAGTTGAGCCCGTCACCATTAGGCGAGATGAGAGGCACCTGAACCATCGCCGTGTCAAGCATTGTCCCATTGACGAAACGCATAATCGTAGACTGACAGGGAAGGGATGCCGCAGCGCCGTCGGCGGCGGCCAACAGCAGTAGCAGCAGTAGCAGCAGGGGCGACGTCAGCAGCGACATCGGCGCTAGCCGCGACATTAAGGGGAGGAGGAGGCTGGGGAGGAGGAGGAGGCTGGGGAGGAGGAGGAGGCTGGGGAGGAGGAGGCTGGGGAGGAGGAGGAGGCTGGGGAGGAGGAGGCTGGGGAGGAGGAGGCTGGGGAGGAGGAGGCTGGGGAGGAGGAGGCTGGGGAGGAGGAGGCTGGGGAGGAGGAGGCGGGGAAGGAGGAGGGCGGAGGAGGAGGAGGCGGGGAAGGAGGAGGGCGGAGGAGGAAGAGGCGGAAGAGGAGGAGGAGGAGGAGGGCGGGGGAGGCCCCGTCACACGCGGCAATCGCGCGGCTGTATGTCGTGCGGGTGCACACCTATACCGACTGCCGATGCAGGGAGGTACTGCGCCGCGACCGACTAAGCCAGTCGAGAGCGGCTGCAGTTGTGTTGTTATCGCAGATCCTGTTTCGTTTAATCAACAGTACTGAACTACTGCGTGTAGTATAGTATCTACCCGTTATCTACCAGCGGTAGGCAATAGAATCAGCACCCAGATGTGAGCCAGCAAGACTGCACGCAAGCAGCAGACAGAAAAATCAACCCAGTTAGCACGTGTCGGGTAGCTGCCAGGTTTATCTATTAGCAGGTGAAACTGACCTGCCTGTGTACCGCGCTTGGAGTCCGAAAAGGCAGCAAGCTAATTTATAAATCTGAAAAAGTGCGGATTGCGGCCCCAGCCAGAACACTGCAGAGATATGCTCCAAGCGACCGATGAGGGACAAACGTGCCAGCTGCCGAGGACTGGGGACTGGACAATAATTTTACCTTGAGGCAAGAGCTTTGCTATTAATGCAAACCGCGCCCATAGTGTTGCACTTTGTATCTCCTTCTCGCGCCTTAAATAGTTTTCCTCCGAGGTGCACGGCAATATCGCAAACCGGTAGCGATTTTATCGATTGCTGTAGCGCAGCTTCTTTAGGCCATAATGTTCATCCCATTTCCCTAATCGCCGATAAAAACGCACAGTGCTTATAATATATTTATCTTTCTGTTCATGCTAACTGAAATTTGTGGCGGCCCGCTGCTACAGATTGTTAAAGTCTTCCTAATAAGCAAGTAGCGGCGCGGGCAGGGCACTTAACAGAACAGCTTATTAGGCTTATTGTGGTTCGGCGCTTTCCTCAAGAGATTCCTGTCTTCTTACGTTAACTCTACAACATGGAGCCCTTTTAGGCAACTCGTTAAGACAACTCTCCGGGCGGATGACGCGCCGGGAATGAATAAAGGGGCCTGTGTTTTAATACGGAGTTTTTGTTACACACGCTTGACCTCAACATATCCGTCTAGTTCCTAACCATACTTTACGGCGGCCTGAGAAAAATAAGGATGAGGGCAACCGTCCATTAATGTGCCGCCGTTTTCGCCTTGGACAGGAATCCTACCACCATTTCATGTGGCCCCCATCGGTCATCCGCTGCTGCCAGCGATTTTTTTTTGCATATATATTCCGAATTCGGAATAAAAAACTGTCCGTGGTCCTGAAAATTAGGAATAAATAATGTTCCGACCGTTACAAGTTCATTCCTCCAGCCAAAAATGGGCTGTCCATGTCAAAGCCGCTAGAATCTTACAGGAGACATACATGTTAACCATATCATAGTACTTTAATGCCATGGATAATGTCAGCAAGGTCACACCTGCGAGTCAACGAGGAATAGGACTGTTTCTGACCGGACCAAACGCTGCAAAATATTCGGATCCGAAGTTCCCAAAGCGTGGCCGGCCATTAAAGCAGAAATTCAACTTCACTGAAGCCATTAGCGCCATTGATGAAGACGGTGTAGAGGTCGTAGGACGCAATGCTGCAGCCAGCCGACGACAATGACGCCACTCCCAGCAACAGCGAGCGGGCCAAACGTCAACGTTCATCATATGGAGACAATCGCGTTAGGCGGTTCCGGTTAATTGCTGCTATGCATCATTACTTTTGCAACCTGGAAAGCCGTGTAGTGTTATCTTTCAACGTGATGCAAAACGAACGGCGGCGAACGAGCTCTAATCGATCAGTGCTTGAGTAGGGGTTGACTGGTCAGTGTTTGCTTGGGCTCTGCAAGCCCTTGGAAACAGCGGTCGCCCGTGCAATCGGGCTTCCTGTCAAAGCGTCTAAGTGCGCGCCACTTCCTGGCGTGCAAGAGACACCTCTATGGAGAGATTGTGGTGTGCGCGTGTTGCAACATTTCCCAAACCCCGGCGTTTGTACGAGCTGAACTGTAACTCATCGGGGGGGGTCCGGGGTGGTTCTGGGGGGAGCGGAGGGCCCCCAGCGCCTTACAGATTCGGAATATTTTTATTCCCGCGACTAAAAACCTATTCCTCCCTTCGGACTGGAAAATTGACGGGCAAAAGAAAAAAAATGGCTGCTGCTGCTTCCCTAAAGGACCATTGCTTGCACTCGATCTACATCTGCCAGGCCGCAGCAATACTGTATACGCGTGAGCCCGTCTGGAGTAATTACAGCCATTTTCAGGCTGTAAATAATAACCCATCTGGTGTTGTGGTGCGAGAGTCTGCTTTTTGGGCGGTCAAACCACCGGGGTTCACTGCTGTCAGTCAGCCAGTCAGTCAGACAGTCAGTTAGCGTCGTGTCTCATGGTGAACTCGCATGCCACGCTGAACTGAGAATTGCATTTAAAGCTACTAAAAATTTCTATCGATTTACTGAAGGAGTTAATTCACATACTTTGTGCGTGAAGATACAGCTTCCCGCGGGCCATGGCTTTGACATCCTCCGCCGCTCGCGGCCTCGCACCGCTTCTCCTGGTCGCCGTGGTACAGCAAACAGCAGCCAGCAATATGCACCACTTCGCTTTGCAACATTCATTCATAGGTGACGACGGCAAGCCGCGCTGCAGCAGCGGCCCACTGCCGATGTATGTATGTTCGCCATGGCCATCTTCCTGGTCTAACATTGCCGAAAGCCCAGCGTGCTTGCGATGAATGCGGCAGGCAGTCCACGGCCTCCAGGGATGTGTTGCCTCCTTAGCGAGTCTGTCGAGGACAGCACGAGGACCTCCTACTGCGGCTGCACTGGCTGCACCGGGGCCGAGCCCTTTTCGGTTCCAAGGAAGCTGACTACCCTAGTCACTGCTAACGGTTGTCGGTTTAACCGTTTGCAGCACTGCGGTTCAGTTATTCGCCCGCCAGGAGGCAGGAACTCGAGCTGTCTAGCGGACTTCTTTTACGGATACCCAAACTACAGCCGTGTTTGAACTCGTCGGGTTGCCGTGGGAAGACACGGGGGCACAGGTTGTGGGGAGACCACGGTGATGCTGCATGCATGCAGGGTAGCGCATCCATTTTTGGGATGGCGGCACGGTAGTATATACGGCACGCCGCCGTCTTGCCAGGTCCCCAGATAACCCCGTGGGGCAGGTAGGGCGCCGCACTGTCCGAATGACGATACAGGTTATATCCGTTATCCGCTTATCAGCACAGAACTGCCCTTGTCCTTGAAGCACCAAAATGGTGCGGATGCAACAGCAGGTTCGCATGGCGGCTAGGCTGCCTGCGTAGCGCGCTGTGAATCCGAACAGGCAGCAAGCTGGCTTACCTAGTTGAAAACGTGCAACCCAGCCAGAAAACTGCAGAAACTACTCCACGCGACCGAAGAGTGGGCAACCTGCCAGTTGTCTCACTTATCGCGACCAAGCTGTATATATGCGCGTGGACATTAATTTTATTTTAAGGCACTAGCTTTGCTACTGCAAGCCGCACTTATACCTGCTCCTCATCGGGTATACATGTGCGATCGACAATAATTTTATTTTAAGGTGACAGCTTTGCTATTGCAAGCCGCACTTATACCTCCTCCTCAAGCATGACCTAACTTTCCTTCACACTAGCTAGATGTGAGGTGCTTGCAAACCGGTAGCGACTTATCGACTGTGGCATAGCTTCTTTAGGCAATAAAATGCCGTTATGCGGTGTTCATCCCATTTCCCTAATCGCTGATGAAAACCCTACAGCTAATTATAATATTCTGATGAAAACCCGTTAGTTAGTTATAAAAATTATATCTCTGTTCATGCTAACTGAAATTTGTGGCGCCCCGCTGCTACAGACTGTTGGAGTCTTCCTAATAAGCAAGTAGCGGCGCGGGCGGGGCACTTAACAGAACAGCTTATTAGGCTTATTGTGGTTCGGCGCTTTCCTCAAGAGATTCCTGTCTTCTTACGTTAACTCTACAACATGGAACCCTTTTAGGCAACCCGTTAAGACAACTCTCCTTTCCATGGGGTCGGATGACGCGCGCCGGGGATTAATAATGTCGTGATTTCATTGTTCTTCTACAGAGAGAATTGAGGTGAGCCCTTTAACCTAAGCAACATTGTAAGGTCCTATTTAGGAAGACCATGCTGACCAAAGCCGCAAAAGCAGCTGTTGTCGAGGACACTGCCATGGAAATGGACCTTGATCCAGACATGCAGTTCTCTGACGAACAGGAGAAGTGGGTGGAGATGCACAATCTGGACCTGAGGACCGATGAGGGCATGCTCCTTGCGGCCGTTCTCCAGCGGCATGAGCTTGAATACTGCGTACTATATGCGTATACTGCAGGAGTGAGGGCTCCTTTCGCTGAATGAAATCCCTGGTCGTGAATTCCATGTATGGCCCAGAATCCACCAACTTTTGGACTCTCCACCGAGGCATTCAAGTCCACCCAACCTGCAGTTGTCAGGACTGAGGCAGGTTGAGCTATCACGGCTTGTTGATGGGCTGACTGCGCTCTGCCAGGATGTCATAGGAGTGCATGGCCAGGTCCGCAAGTGTGTCACAGCTATAGCCTGTCTCAAATTACCAATGCAGCAAGAGATCAAGATGTCCTGCTCAGGGGCTGGAGAGCTTCCTTGAGAAGGAGTTTCACTCGGACATCCTGTCTGCATCCAAGTTTAAGCTTCAACGACGTCCCAGTCCTGCTCATGGATGTCTTGACAACAAACCCTTTGATCATGTGGGCCAACCGAGCCATCACCTTGTAATATTGTGCTCCATCCACAGGAGGTAAAGGTTCATACTGCAGATATTATCCAAAAATCCGGCAGACCGGACAGTGCTGCAACCCTGGTGGGCATTGCAGTATTCTGTAAGGCATATCACGGGATCTGCATCCACCGACTGGTACTTTCCTGAAGTCATATGATATAATAATAGCCAAGACATGTGCATGCACACATACAGGACGTGGGATCCCGTGTCCTGAAACGTTAACGCCACACATGTACACATACATACAGGGCATGAGTCATTTCTCGGAGAAATGCCGGTCGCTCCTAATGCCGTCGTCATCCCGGCTGTTGCTGTTGTTGCTTGCTTGTAATTGTTAGCCCTGGCCCCCATGTCATGACCTCGCAGGTGAGCCTACTCCCCAGGAGGCCCAAGAGCCTTATTCTAATGTATACCGGATACGGCTGCAGTAGTGCCGCTGCAGTAGTGCAGCAGGACGGTGAGGCTAATGGTTGAATCACAGCTACTACTAGAAAATGCACAGACCGGCGGATGCCAGAATCCCGTGGTACACGAACTCCAGGATACAACAATCTAGACGTCTATGGGGACCAGCAGGAGGTGTAACACCAGCAGGCAAAGAGTACTCAGGGAGATGCCAGGGGAGCTGAACCCTTCTTACAGGAGGGGACGGAACATGCTGCACTAGCAGCCCGATGCTGCTGCTCGGCCTCCCTGCTAAATGACAGCCCGGAGGGTGTGGAGAAGTACAAGTCGGCGGGCGGGCATGTGCCATAACGCAACAACTACAATCTGGCCGACAGCAAGGTCGGCTGTTACCTGCCGGGGGCTCAAAGAGAAGCCGAGCACACCGTCCACCCTGGGGGCCAGCTTGGTGCTCAGTGACATGGCAAGAAAAAGTATATAATGGCAGATAATGGCTGCATGCACCGTGTTCTACTTGCCAGCGGCTCAATTGCGTTCTGTTTTTCCCTGTTTACTTTATGGTGCAGGCATCGGTCTCTGTTGAAGAAACTGTCGAGATCCTGGTCATCAGGAAAATTGCTTGTAAGTGCAGGGGGTAGTCCTTCATGGTGAGTGTATGGGCAGGCCAGGCAGGGAAAACCTTGCTCGGTGGTGCAGCCCCTATCGATCTTCCTGATCACTGTTTAAAGCTCGTCAGCTGACAAGCTTTTAGTCCTGCCTGTGCCCCTACTGGGCATCCTGGCCATCAACAAGGGCCATCAACATGCTGTGTTCTGGGCGTGTGATACCCCCGTGAGTGTCAGGGCAAAGCAGATATCATCAGCCTTGAAAGGGAACATATAGTAGCTGGCCGCTGAAAGGCCTCTCAAGATGCTGGCGGTCGCGCTTAACGCGTATTTGTATAGCCGTACTGTGTACCGGCTACTACAGAACAACAATAAGTAAGGGCTAGCTCGACATATTAGTGACTTGTGGGGAATGGAAAAAAGTAGGGGGGGATGGCAGGTATAATGGTCTAGTAGCTGGTACACAGTATGGCACACATGTCAACTGCAAATATGCGCAAAGCGCTCGAGGACGACGGGGAAAAGCCCGCGGAAGCCCTGGGAGCGGGGGTCTGGGGGAAAAAGGAGGCGTTGGGGAGCGGTGGTGGGTTCCGGAGCAGCGCAGCAGGGCCGGAGAGGGAAGGACACGCTGAACCTCACGCTCCAAATCTGCCGTCCCTTAAGAGTGCTGCGGCACACGTGTACCGCGGGAAGGTACACCTTCCTGCATTTCACATACGGGACCACCTGCAGACACTTCTCCTCCTCCTCTGGAGTAGCGCCTGGATTTGACTCCGGACCTACGCCCCTTAAACAGTCAAGATCTGGGACTGCATCCGTGGGTCTTCAGGTCGGGGTCTTAGGTCTGTGCGAGTCGGAGAGGAATTCTTCGGAGAGAGGTTAGCTGAGCTGCTGCTTTATCTCAACTCCCCTTAGCCCCTATCCTACAATGCACAACATTCGTCTTCCTTCTCCGTGCATGTCATGAGCCATTTTATGGCGCCACATCCATCTGAGTTCCTACTACTACTACTACTACTACTACTACTACTACTACTACTACTACTACTACTACTCCTGCTGCTCTTTCTGCTTTCCTCCGGTTCTCCCTCCTCCCCTTTTAGCGTCAGGTGGAGCCCCACAGCTTTCCCCCACCCCCCCACCCCCGCGGTTTTACCGGCCGGCAGCGGCCCTGGCCTCACACCCGCCAGCCCCTGTTGCCGCTACTGCCGCTACTGCTACTGCGGCTGCTGCTACTTCTGCTACCCTGGTTTCCTGCCCCTAGTCGCCCCTCTTCACAAAGAACTGCACTCACCCCCATGGAAACCACCTCCCTTTCGCTCGCCTCGGCTTTTCCTATATTTCGTCGATTAATCCTAACCTCAACCCAGGGGAGGTAAGGGTAGCAGGGTCGTACGCTGATGTATGCAACTCACCCGGTCACACCTCTTTCCCCCTCCCCCTCCTCCCTAGGCAGGTAGTTTTCCAACATTCTTCTTCACTACGTCATCCCGAGGTCGCCGCCTTCAAGAACGCCTTTTGGTCAGTTCTACGTCTGGTACACTCTTGCCCTGGCAGCAGCTTCACTCGTTCACGTGGTTCGTCTTTCCCCCTCCTCCCCCCGCCTCTCCCCCGCTCCTCATGGGGCACCTCGGGGCTTCCGAGTGCGGCGAGGAGGCGCCTGCACGGGGACCAACGGCGCAGTAGGTTTCCGGGAAAATAGCATCGCCCGCATCATTGCTGCGCGCGACAATGGCGCCTTCGCGGTAGCACCACTCCCCTTGCCCGCCGGTGGTGCCACAGTGCTGCCCCCAACCCCCCCGGGACCGGTCCGCCTGCCCACTTCCTCCGCTACACCAGCCGCCGCCACCCCTAATCCAGCAGAGGGCTTAGTGACGGCGACGGCGACGGCGCGCTGCGGTGGCGCGTCGTCCGCCGCCAGCTGCCCGGTCGCGTGAGAGCGATGGCTTGGCCATCGTACACCGCTCCCGTCGGCAGCCGTACCAGCCGGTGGAGGACGTTCCCGTCGCCAGCCCTCCTGCAGGTTCTCCCCTCCCCCGTCACCGTCATCCTCATCAGCGCCCTCCCCATCGTCGTCTAGGCGCTGCAGCCGGGCGGCACGGCTACTGCCGCCGCCGCTGCCGCCCCCGCCGGCAGCATCGCAGTGGCTACCGCCGCCGCCGCCGCCGCCGCCGACCAGGGGCTTAGGCGTCGCCGGTATCACTGACCGCTCAGGCGCCGCCAGGGAGTTACCATTCGTACGGCATTCAGCATCGCTGCCAAGGTTCCCGCGCTCTCCACGACTCAGCGCCGTTGTCGCCGCCGCTGCCGCGCCCAACCTCCTCAGCCTCGGTGGTACATAGCGTGACGAGGCAGCTCGCGCGACCGTCTTGCCGTACATGCCGTCGTCCATGGCTGCGCCACCGCCGCCGTTGCCGATGTCACGACGGCCCAGGTTATCGCCGGCCATTCCGGCGGACATCGACCTGCGATCCATAGCACCTTTCGACTCAATCGTACGGGAGCCGTACGTCCCATGCCGTACATCCTTGGCGTTGCCGCCGCCGCCGGTGCGGGCCCCGCCAGCGTAATCAACGGTATCTGGTTCATCGTTGTCGCCACCCTCGCCGTCACGTCGGAGTTCCGCAGCTCGTCGCAGCGCATCGGCCATGATGCTGCCGTGCAGACCATCGCCGCGGCCGCCGCCGCCGTCGCCACCCTCACCGCCGCCGCCGCCGCCGCTCCTTCGGCCGCCAATAGTGGCGTCTCCGCCAAGCACCTGGCCCCGACGACGACTGCGGATAGAGACCATGCGGCGTTTCCGCTCTGTGACGCGGTCTCGGTACCTGCACAAGCAAACCGTACGGACGCCGTACGTACGACACCCCAAACCGAGTCACTCCATCCGCAGCAACAACAGAAGCCAAGGATCACACACGTCGCATGCGGCGGAAGAACCTTAACACACACACGTACATACATACATTTTCCATGCTTGCCACTTAAAAAACATAGTTTAGGTATTAAGTTGACCTTCGAAACTAAAACTGTCAACTGAAACCGTCAACTGAAGCCGTTACCTAAACCCCGCCAGGCATGCGGCTGCGCACCTGAACCAGATCCGCAACGGCACTCCAGGGAATCCCAGAACCTCCCGAATCTGGTGCGCTAAGAAGGCTGAAAAATCTCCACTGACGGGCTGAGAGGCGGTGCCGCGAAGAAATGCGACAAATGTGGGCGGCCGCGCCTTGATCTGGGTCACGTAGCGAATACGGCGAAGATTGGCCTCCGTACCGCCACCGCCTGCCATTCGAGCTGTCAGCTTCGCCATGAAGTTATTCAAACGTGCCGTACCAATTCTGACAATGGTGACGTAATAAGGGGGGATGGTCAAAAGCGAAAGGGGTGTGTTTGGAAATGATGATCAGTGGATTAAGTTGATGATAAAAAAAGGTTGGTGCTTGTTGTTCGGACCATCCAATTGGCGCTTGTTGTTGTTGTTGATGTTGTTGATCCAAGTCCATTCCCCACCCGCCCTCATCATCCGACATGCTTCTCCGGTGCTTGAAATCTGCCAGGAATTCAAATAGACCGGCGACGGCGTTCAAGTACAAATCCTGCTGACTTTGCTAAATACATCTTGTTCTTGTGCTTGTTCTTCATATCTGACAGCTCTTCATGCACCGCCATTTTTAAAGTCAAAACCACCAACACCGCACCTACCTCTTATTCCAGGCTTCGTAAGCCTTCGACACCACTGGCATAATCTCGTCCAATCCCGTACCGTCCCGTGCGGATACCTCCACCACGGGCAGCTGACCCGCCTCCAGGAAGCGCTCCGCCAGGTGCCTCCGAAGACTCTTCGAACATGCGGGGTACGGCAGGAGGGAGCGTTTGGCGTTACTCTTAGGGTAGCGGGATGTAGGTGGTCGCGGGGCGAGGGGACCGAGATGGGAAGGGCAGGGCAGGCACGTGAGATGCCGTACGGATTCCTTACCTTGCCGTACAACGTCCTGTCCTGCGGTGAGAGCACGTCCATCTTGTTCGCCACGAGCACCAGCGCCTTCCCCTCCCGGATGACGTGGCTGGCCAGGGATAGCTCTCGACGAGCCAGGACCTGAGAGCCCCCGGGGAGCAAGTGATTGGGGCCGTACGTGTGAAGGGCCGTACATATGAAGGGCAGTACGTGTGAAGAGTACCACCCAGCCCTTCCCCCCCCAGCCTACTACTTTTCCGCCGCCTTTACTACTACTTTTCTACACCTACTTCCTTACGGCTTGCCAATACTATTTCTCCTTTTTTAGTTCTGGCGGCTTAGGTAGGTAGTCTTTCCGACATATTCTTCACTTCGTCATCCCGAGGTCACGGTCGCCACGGACGCCTTTCGGTCAGTTCTACGTTTGATACTCTCTTGCCCTGGCAGCAGCTTCAATCGTGTGTAGTTCGTCTTTCCCCCCCCAGCCCTCCCCCCCCCCCAGCCCTCCTCCTACTCTGTTGCTCCTGAGCGCCCTCTCCACATCCACCACCAGTACGGCCACATGCACCTGGGCCAGCGACCTCAGAGTGCACTGCCGGGACAGGGCGGCCACCTCGCCGCCCACATCGTCGTAGCTGGGGGGTGAGACGGCAAAGGGGGGGTGGGTGGGGGAAAGAGGATGAACCACGGAAGAGTGAAGCAGTTACAAGAAATAGCCCAGGCTTGAACGTGTATGATGAAATCAGAAACGTTTTCGAAATGGACCCCGACGGCGATGCGTCTGTCCTCGCAACCCCCCATCTGCCCTTCTGGGGCCTCCGTGCCCGGATATTAGGGTTTTAGGGTTTTAGGGTTTTCCCGGCCCTCAACCCCCTTCAGAAATACAACACCCCAAAAGCTCACGATACGGCCCACCTGGCTGTACGACCCACCCCAATCCAGCCCGCCGTGTCAATGAGCTCCACTGGCTGATTGCCGTACATCCACATGGCCCGTACGGCATCACGTGTGAGTCCCGGCTCCGGGCCCGTCAGCGCGCGCTCCTCTCCCAGCAACCTGTTGAGTAGTGTAGACTTACCCTGCGCATGAGATTTCAACGACAGGTCCGGGTGGTGGTAAAGAAGGCAGTAGGAAGGAATATTATTGAATAAAAATGTGATATATAATGTGATATATAATATATAAAATAATATAATAATAATATAATATATATACACAACATATAATATAATAAAATAATATATTATTCAATAATAATATAATATAATATATATTTTTTAAATGACATATATATGTCACTTAAAAATATATAATATATGTGACATATATTATATATGTCAAAAAATTATTATATATAACCACCACACACACATATATGACGACGAAGGCCAAATGAGATTAACGACATAACGACTCCTCGACAGTGCAATTCGCGGATGCTCCGAAACCATGACCTTACCGCGTTCGGTAGCCCCATAATGCCCAACTTCAACACGCCTCCTCTGCCAGGAGCACTGCTGCTGCTGCTTCCATCTCCGCCATCCCCTCCGGCATCTCCACCAACAGCGACGCCCTCCACCCCCGTCGCAGCCTCCGCCATCGCAGCCTTCACCGTCTCGACCTCTCTCCGCAAACCGCCCCCGCCGCCGCCGCCGCCGCCACTACTGAAGAGCGACCGACGGCGACGACGCAGCAAAGATATCCTAACCCGCGGACTCCCATCTCCATCATCATCATCATCATCATCATCATCATCATCATCATCATCATCATCTCCATCACCAGCTCCACCACGGGCCCCATCAATAGGCGCTGCTAGCCAATGGACACGGCTACACGTCGCATCATGCACTACAGCGTCGCTGTCGGCGGCTGTAGCGTCCGACGCCGCCGACGGCCTGTCAGCTGCCGCTGCCGCCGCCGCCGCCGCCAGCTGCTCCGACACCTCATCAATATGCGGCTGCAGCGCGGTGTAGAGATCCGCAAGACCCTCTCCAGTGGCGGCAGACACGGCAACCGGCTCTCCGAAACCAAGTCGGTAGCAGTCGTACACGGTTTGCGGCATCTCTGGCGTGTGTAGATGTGATTCCCGCGACACACGAGAAAGTGTCCAGGGGATACAGGGATACAGGGATACATGCCAAAACGGCAAAAAAGTTGTCGTACATATGTTAAGATGTACGACAACAGACAGGTTACACAAAACAAGAGGAGAGGGAGAGGGAGAGTGTCGGTGAGGTAGGGCAGGTAAGGAGGGTTAGGTAGGGAGGGCGGTAGCTCACGGCAGTCATCAGGTATTCGCTTGTTGTTCCATTCATCGCGTCTTAAATCTTCTTTCCTCTTTTCTTCCTTTATTTACCAACTAATAAAATTAGTAGATTTCCGCGACCCTCACTCACTCACCCACCCACTCACTGACTCAGGCGCTCTGGTCCCTGCAGATCCCGTTAGCTTTCCCCAACTCCCCCGCCAACGACCCCCCACAGGCCACGCTACAGACAAACATACATACATACATACCCTACTTCCTGGACAACTTCCTTCTTCCTCCCGTAAAACTACTCACGGCATGCCATCTTCCACCCCCCTGAGCCATTTCCCTCCCGCAGCTAAGATCTTACAATAACCTGACAGTTTTCTACGTGAAGCGTTGAAAACTAAGGTTTTCTGCGAATACGGAGTGTCTTTGCCGTATGGCGTACGAGCCAGTGTGGCTCTTGTGTCGCGGCACGCGACAGTGTTGGCTAATTCGGGTTGTTCGTAGCTACGTTTGGGTGCTGCCGTGAAGCGGTTGGTCTGTAGGCCTTGGTGATCCGCTTCGTGGTAGTGTGCCCTCAATTACAATGTCCGATTCTGACAGCGAGACTTCGGTCAGCTACAACACGATGTACACCGAACTAAAAGCGCGACTAGTCGCACTTAAAGATGTCAAGGCTGCGCAGGAGCGTCGCGCCGCTGACCCGGGCGTAATTTTGAACAAGCAGCAGCTGGCTGCCATGGACCAGCTGAACGCCGTGAAGCTGCAGCTGACAACCATTAAGAAGCTTATGGACACGAAGCCTGACGTGCAGGCGGTCGACGGTCCACCGGCGAAGCGGGCCCGTGTCGCCCTTGAGGATTTCAAATGTGACTTCGGCGCCAGCGAGGGCAAAGCGAACAAGTCTCTCAGCGGACAGCGCGCGCATATCGAGAAATGCTACAATGCGGTAATGGACATTGAGGACGCGTGGCGCAACGTCCTCGCGGCTCGGCCCGGCGAGGAACGCTTCAGGAACATCGAGGCCATGGAGACTGCCATCACCGACGGCAAGGCCGTGTTCCGGGGGGTCGC